ACCAGGTCTTCAAAGCCTTACGGAAGGCCAGGAGTGAGGGGGCCAATCGCACCTCCGGGGGTAGAATGTTCCAAAGAGCGGGGGCTACCGCAGAGAAGGCCCTCCTTCTGGATCCCACCAGTCAAAGTTCTTTCACCGAGGGGGTCCGAAGCATGTCCTCTCTGTGTGATTGGGTGGGACGGGTTGAAGTCATAGGGGAGAGGCGGTCCCTTAGGTAACTAGTGGCGCTGGCACCATACAGTCACACTAACTCAGCCAAAAACCACTGGTTACCGTATTTAATCGCAGATAAGCCCATCTGTGGATAAGCCGACCCTCAAAACGTCAACCAAAATGTCACGAAAAATGTGTTATCCACAGATAAACCCTGAAATTTTTAACCACAGCAACAGGCAGGAAACTGTAAACTGTTACATTGTCATTTATAAAACCACGCAATTTTGAGGCTGTGACAGGTTTTAAAAAATCTGAGCTCCAGTCCACAAATAACCCAAATCCAATTTTTTTTAGTGTATTTTGGAACCTAAAATTCTTGGCCTATCTGTGAGTATATACCGTTAGGCTGCACCTACTATTTCCAGAAATGGTCTACTATCCCATGAGCCTTTGTGCCAGGAGAATACTAGGAAGTCTTCATGATATCGCTGACTGCTTTCTCATTGGCCAGACAGGCAACAGGAGACCTCATTTGCATATGAAGATCATTTAATATTTGGGAGGTGCATTCTGTGCTAGCAGGGCTTTGTTGCGAGCTTTGCAATGCAATGGCTTGCATTTTCAGCTACTGTTTCTCACCAGCTTTTTTGCTTGGTAGGCAAAAGGGAGCAAGTGTTCCCACAACATGGTTGATTAAGTAAAGTCAATGTGACTCCAAGTGTGAATGGGTTTGTGCGGGTGGAAATTGAACCCTCTGGGGATAGGTTGACTGGGTCTATTAATGCTTTTCCATTTTCACAACACACACCTCTCCCTCCCTCCTTCAACTGACACACAGGTTGTAGGAATAGGATCTAGATTTCTTTTCCCTGAAGTGCTTCCCATAACACAACTCACTTTGGCTGTTCATGAGTCACTATCACTGTATTCTTTATCTTCCCTTCAGGAAGAGGCTAGAAATGAAAGAAATGACTAAGATATTAATCTCACTGCAGTATAAATAAATAACAGCACAACATGCTTACCTTTCAATGCCGTTCAATTTGTGGGAATGCTTTCCTGACAACAGTAAGCCACCTCCCCATGCTGCCTATAGAAATTAAACACAGAGTTATCTAAATGGGAAGATTCCATCTTTTATCACCTTTTACCAGCCATATTTACTACAGTGGTCTCTCAAAAATATATGGGGAAAAGAGAAGTTAACTCCCAAAATGAGAAAACAGAGAAAAGAGAAAACTCTGATTGTTCTTCAGATTGTGTATATCTTTTGCTTTTTACTAAAGAGAAAACAGAGTAGTGCTTTGTGTTCTGTTATGTTCTGGCAGAGAGACAGCACTTGAATGGAAACCAACAATTCTGTTTTATAAGGAATTAAAAAGTAAAATAAAAGTTATTGTATTAGTATTAGTTACATACAGTACCTCAATAGTGGAAGGAAAATTTGGAACGTCAATGAGACCAAGTGTTAAGAAATGTGAAATATACTTCTTACAATTTAAAAATGAAATTGACTAATAGAAAATATTATTTCATGTTTATTGGACACTCAAAATAATGTTCATTACATTTTTTATGTTAGCATTGTAAAAGATTTAAAGGTTCCTTAATTCATATCATCTGGTCTTTCTAATTATAGCCTTGTTTTGGTTTTAAATCACTACATATGTCAAAACATATGGGAAGAAATATTATAGTTAAGGAACAATGCAGTGTTGAACTACATTTCTAAAATATGGAATCTGTCATCTCATGAGGAGTTTTGACTCTGTCGAGCCAATTGGCAAGAAACTTGCTGTCTGATTTTAAGGAAATGAGTTTGTTATCTAATGATAAGCTTAAGGATTGAATTAATTTTATATTGTTATTGTAGTTGTATGGATTTTTTTTCTGTTTTTCTTTTTGTCACATTTAGTTTATATTAATCACTATAACAGTGAGCTAATAAGATGGTGCAGCAGGTTATTCTTTGACTTCAGTTTTCTATCTTTGTCCACTTGTTGATTTTGCATAAAAGACTATGTTTAAAATATTTTCTATTATTTAAGTTAAAGTAAAGTACTGTTTGAGAGCTAGCTTGGTATAGTGATTAAGGCACCAGGCTCAAAATCAAGAGACTATGAATTCTAGTTCTTAGGCACAAAGTCATCTAGGTGACCTGGGTCAGTCACTCTCTCTTAGCCCTAAGAAGAAGGCAACAGCCAACCACTTCCAAAAATGTGGCCAAGAAAACTGCAGGGACTAGTCTAGGCAGTTGCCAGGAGTCAACACAAAGTACTGTTTTAAAATGTGTCATATTATGAGTTGAATATTATGAATTACTCATAGGAAGGAAATTACTGAAGTTGAATAACAATCTGTTGCAGCATCCCATTAGTTTTATTTTGGTTCAAGGTGTTATTCTGGTATAACCAAGATTTAATTCTGAACCTATACTTACATTACATGAACAATCTTAAGGGTAGCAAATGACCTTACTCTCCTTGGAAGCAGGTACAGCTTTCATGGCTGTCTCTGCTCATCATATGCAGTTATAAATCCATTTTCTAAGACTCCAGCCAATTCACTGAGTTTTAGGTTGTCCTAATAACTTTGTTATTTATATACATGTCTCTCATTCATGTGTATATTTAATAGGGCTGTGCAAATCCTATCAAATAGGTTTTCTACAATCTGAAAACACACAGAGATACAAAGAACCTCTCTTCAAATCATTAAAGCAGCCATGTCTTTTTCTAGACTCATAAAGCTGCTTTGTAAGCTGCTTCAAGCTGACTCTGTATATTTGAGGTGGCTGGACATGTACATTCATGAGGCGACAGCTGGGAGCAGCTTATAGAGCAGCCTAACTTCTGTCCCAGTACTAGTTTGTTGCAGCATTGAGTGTGAAAACAATGATCTTACATCCACATGCATCCAAAGATTGTATTTTTCACAAATGTCAGCAATGTTGGCAAGAGGATCAAAGGCTCCATATACTGTTGTCCCAGCTGTGGCACTAACGTACAGTGGTATTTTGCCCTGAAAAAGAATACAACTACCTACATTAAAGCACATGCAATCTACCCTCTGTCATAATCATAATTAAAACATACTTCCATTGTAGAATATAGTGGCCAAGTACTCTATAGCCAGGGTGTTTTAGCTCAGAAGAGATCAATTCATGTATGTAACAACCAGTGCGCCTTCAAACACCTTCCTTAGTAGCCATCAGATAATTTTTAAAGAATGTTATTTTAAAAATAAATACAATGCATCAATAAAAAATAAAATGCCTTCATTCAACCAAACAAAGCATATCTTGTAAGGCCCTCACGTCAAGCCTGATTTCTGGGGACTACATGGATATATCATGCAGTTTTACTGGCAACAGTACGAAGTGGTTTGTCACTGCTGTTTTCTGGGATGATTCCCAGTCTAACTTTCCCTTCCAAGTACAAATCTGTCCAAGCCCTGTTTATCTTCTAAGCCCACCTACAGTTATTAAAGTACTACTGAGTCTCACAGACATTCTTAGAAAATAAAAATGGTGAATGGGTGCATCCTAAGGTTTTTCATGAAAATATGCCAACAAGAATCTGGGGTGATAGGACACATCTGAAGCACTTGAGAAAATGAATCAATAGTAAATGACTGGTCCACTACAATAATTATTTTGTGGACAAATACCCACCCCACCTCCCCTGCAAGCATGAGACAATCCATTAGATGATCTCAAAATTCTAAATATGCCCACTGGCTGAAAAGGTTGCCTATCTATTTTGGCTATATTCTGACAAACTGAATTAGACAGGTATGATCAGGGAATTGGGAAGGGAAATGCCTTCTTACAACAGTAGGGAATATGTATAACTCAAGGCAAGGTTGTCACGTTCCATTCTTGGAGTTCTCAAAGCTTGGTTTTGAGGTTGCAGAGATTTCATTAACCTGTTAGATAACATCGTCAGGGCAAGCGTTTTGAAGAAGTGAGATTTGTAGATTGGCAGAGATTATGTATCCTTCTCTTTTGCCTGCTTTCCATGTGCTTAGATGGGATAGTCCTGTGGGCAGATGTTTTGCTAGTGACTGGGGGCTGGTTGATTCTTAAAGTACTGTACTTTTCCTGTGATTGCTGCATTGTAGCTAGTTTTTGTTATTAGATTGACGAGGAAATGTCTCTAGGCTATCTAGCTGCTGGTTGATTATTCTGTGATGGGGGAATGTTGTTGCGTGTTGAGCTGATGCACTAGCGCTGGGTCTTTGGCTATGTCCTTTGATAGGTCCATAACAAGGATTTACGTCTATGTTGATCACCAGTTTTTGCTGTCTGCCAGTTTGCCCTATATAGTGGTGTTTGCAGTACTTGAATTTTATTTTGTATTTGACTCCTGTTTTGTCTCCCCTTAGCATTTGGTCTTTGGGTTTGCTTAATATACTCTGCAAGAACTTTGTTGGTTGGTTTACCATGATTATTTCAAACAATTTGAGATAGGGGAAGGTTATCATTTTTATGGTTTGTAATGTTTGTGTTTTTTTTGGTTGGATTGACATGCACCTCTTGATGTAAACGCGTGGTTATCTAGTGTGTTGAAAGATGTGAAAGTATTTATTTCTCTTTTGTGTAATTCCAGTGTGCTGCAGTGTGTTATTGCTCATCTCAATATGCAGTATTTCTGCGTGCTATTTGGATATGACTGTTGTAGCTGGAGATTTGGTTAGTGTGGATTGTTTTCTGGCAAGTTTATGTTTGTAATATGCTGTTGCTTTTTTGGATAACTAGGATAATTGTTGTTGTTTTCTGTTTTTGTGAATTTTATTCCCTTGTACACGTGGTTGATTATATGTTTTCTAATGTTATTTTTTATTATGACAAAGGTGTCATCTATGTAGTGGATTCATACTGGAAACTGAGACAGTGGGAAGGCTAATTTCTAGATACTGTATTTCTGTTCCTGCTATGAGTCTTGAGGTCCCTATGATCTATTCATAGATTTGACTGTCCAACTGGAAGTACGTGGTGAGGCATAACGCTATGAGTTCCATAAGTTTGGGTATTTCAATTTTTGTGTGTTCAGTTAGGTTACGTATGTTATGTAGTAGCACTGTGATTGCTTCTTTTACTGGTTTTGGGTTGATCTTCTTTATACTATTTGTATGCATTTGCATTAGTTTAAATTGCAGGGTATAAACTAGATTTAGTTAGATTGCTTGTTAGATCTCTTTTCTCCTGACTTTAATTTCTTTTGCCACTACTTTCCACTCTTTCTGCAAATCACATAAAGTTCTATACCCCGAAATGATGTATATGTTTTTAAGTAAGTTAGACTTCAAGGTGTCTTCAATTAAGATTGCAATATAATGGCAATTACTGTTCTTTATTACTAAGCTCAAAATCTGTCCTTCAGTTTCCAAAATGTTTTCCTCTTCTTCATCACTGTTAGAATGTTTTTGAATTTTTTCTTTATTAACATATTGATAAATCACCTTTTCTAAATGGGTATCAGGACATGAACAGTAAGCATAACCAAGATAGACACATAACAACTAAGTGCAATCAAAGCAGTAGGCAATTAAATAGAATTTGAACAAATGTTTTGAAGACAGTAAAAATACAGTAAAACAGAATAATGAACTAATGTCAAAAATGTTTTTTTAAAAAACAAATATCAAAAACATTGAAGCAAATTGTACCTCTACAATACCGTATTTGAGCTTAACACAGAAGGTGGCCAAGAATGCTATTTCTATAAGCCAGCCTCCCTTCCCCCTGCTTTTCTATTACAAATCTTTGCAGCCTATCCAATGCCAGCATTTTCTAATCTAAGAAGAGCCCAAAGGAGGAGTTTCCTTATGATATCTTCCCCTGGGGTGTAACTGAAATGTGAGGAAGTAGAAAATTCGAATGGTCTTTTTTTACCACCATCTCATTAACCTGCTCTTTCCCAGTGATGGATGAGTGAGCTAGAAGCAAAGATGGGAAATGGGGAGCTGTCACTATCTGCTCACTTGTCTGTCTTTTCCCTCTTGGAAAAAAAAGGAAACTGTTCTACACATTTCTAGATATTCAGCTGAAGTCAAATTGCCATCAGTATGATAATTCAAAGCTAAAAACAAGAATTATGTTCCAGAGGAATAATCACATGAGTAGCACCTGAAATATTTCACAGGTTTATTGGGACATGAGCCTTTGTAGGGAATAGCCTACTTTATCAAATTAATAAAGAGACTGTGAAGCATATACACCAATACAATAAGAAAAGAAACAAACAAACCTGTCTCTTGACTTTGATAATATTTCCCTCCAGTTCAGATGGGATCATCTTCCCCCTGTTAAGATGTTAAAAAAAATGAAATGTAGTAGTTGATAAATATGACCTTCCATAATTTTCTAAATATGTAAAAATTAGGAGCCTTTCTTCTGCAAGCAAAACTGTTTACAGACATGTACAGGTAGTCCCCGGATTAAGAACGCCCGTTTTACAGATGATCTATAGTTAAGAACAGAGCCTATTTTAGCAAAATTCAAGTAAATACACAATGGTTTGAGTTAATTACACAATGCTACTTATAGAGTATTATACAATAATACTTACATACAAATTTGACTTAAGGACAGACCTTGGGAATGGAACTCGTTCTTAAACTGGGGACTACCTGTACTTCTGAACAAATCCCCATAAGGGTCAAGTCCCATGTAATCATTCTCAACAAGGAAATATTTACATACACAAACACACAAAATCAAGTGAAGAGAACAGGATTGAGCCTGTAGGTTTAATTCCTCCATATTTTTTTTTTAATCTTCATGATGCATGGTGAACTTTCTCAGTAGAGCAATACTCTATCCTCATTCATTCAAAACCCATTGTGAGGGGGAGGCTACATTAAAAATTATGCAGGAACCTGCACAAGCAGAGGCATCTATCAACAGTAGGCATTCACCTTTGAATATATGGAAAACTGTGGGGATAGGCAATGAAGACACAGTGGAAGTCATAGGGCCAGGGAAATCTCCTTTTTTAATTCCCAGGATTAGGATGATGAAGAATATCAATGAAGTCCTTATCTTTTCTTTCCTCTCAGCAAAATAAAATAAAATAAGATCTATTTACTGCTTGTAGAGGAAATAGACATTTGGATTTACAGTAGGAGTTTGAAATAAATGTTCCTTATTGTTTTAAATTGTAATCATTTTCTTGGTTAAAATATTCATTTTATAATTGATTCATTCATTAAATGCATTGATGTTCTTGATATTCTTATACATGCTGCTGTTTTTTTCTGTGACAACAGAACCAATTTCAGCAGCTACTTCTTGATGACACCCCTGGGGACAGTAGATCCAGTTTTAGTTTATTTATTATTTATCAGAAATTAATTGATACATTTTACAAGAATTCCTTGAATTCATGGCACATCTGTATAATGCTGGAGAAAAAAAAATGTCAGGAGGCAATAACTGAAATATCCTATGCTGCTCTGGGGAAGGTACCTGTTTCTCATCATTTGTGAAATGTTCCAAGGAAGTAGGAATTATTATTAAATAATTGAGCAATTTGCTCAGGGGCATTTAACCTATTTGGGGGAGGGGCACATTTTCCAAAAATAATGAAGCCAGAAGATGAAAATAATATCAAAGAACATTAGAGGAATTGAGTTGTATATAAAGTTATTATGCAGGAGAACTTTGAGAATCTTACCTTTCATCACATTTGATAGCAATAACATTATCCATCCCAATTCCAACGACTGCTGCTGCCTTTTTTATAGAATAGTGACTCTTAAATATTTTAGAGGAGAAAAACATCAAATAGCAAAAAAAGATCTTACAACATGCATTGGAGAAAAACAATTTCATAACTGCTCTTGTCTTAAAGAAAATGAGGAACAGTAACATTGAGTTTGAACCCATTACTGGTCTGCTAACATCAATGGGACTAGAGTTCAGTTTTAACAATCCTTGTATCTGGGAGTAAACCCCATTTAACCAAATCTGAGAAACCTATGAGTAGGTGTGTATAAATAAGTTGAGAGTCAAATTAAGACTTAACAGTGATGAAATTAAAGAAGGGAGCACATATCTTTCAAAATTCTCAATGCAGGGTGATCATGAAACTAAATACCTCCAAGTCAGGAAAAAATGTCAAATTATTTTTTGAGGGTGGATCATACTATCAACAATGGCCACGTACAATTTACTTCTTTTGCGGGGGGATGTTGCTGATGGAAGTACTTCCTCCATCTCTCTCAGTACTACCAATTTAATATCATTTTGGGGCATTATACAAGAAATAGCAACTAGAATAAACAATGTGAATCTGTTTCGAGAAAATTCTGCAAAGTTACCTTCTTGGTTGTAGGGAGGGTGAAAGAAATAACAAACATTTCCTGGCCGTATTGACATCTATGACAATAATTTTACTTTGGCCACCATATTTATTTTGTATTGGCTGTAACTGTTTTTAATTGATTTATGTTTTTACGACTGTTCGCCGCCCAAATGAAATGGGTGGCTATAGAAATCAAATAAATAAATAAAATAAAATGTGCTAAATTATTGCTCTGAGTGCTTAAGTCACAAATGAAATTACCAACTAAAGTGGGGGTTTTCAAGACTGCAGTCAGAATAATACCTCCATAATATAATCTATAATACAGTACTGTTGTGGTCCATGAGGAAAGTATAATCAAAGGTCATAATTCATTGATTTATAATTGATTAGTTTTTGATTGCTTAGGCTGGTCATCTTTCTTAGACTGTGACACTGACTAAAGTGAGTCACATTTTATGCACATTGGAATTTAAATTAGGCAAATCTTTCATATCTGATATTCTCTGGATATGGGGATTCTGTAGATCATAGAATTCTCCAGTTAGGATGGCCATTGGCCACGCTGGCTGGGAATTTGGGGAATATTCATATTCCCAAATTATATATTGTATAATTAATAACAATACATCTGGAATAACAATATACTAGAATAACAATACATCTAAAATAACAATACATCTAGAGCCAGGTGCCAAGTTGGACATAGCTGCATTAGATTGATGCAAAATCATATTATGCTAGCAATATGGAGCAAGGATGACTGCAACAGTCATAACTGTTCATAGGCCTAAGGATTCATTTACTAGTTACCAGTCATTGACTTTGCTAAGGGTTTTGCACAATGCCGCCCAGAGTCACCTTGTGTGAGATGGGCGGCTATATAAATATGATAAATAAATAAATAAATAAATAAATAAATAAATAAATAAAAATAATGCCTCTAGTGGCTGTCATGACAGAAATAATTCACAATGCAGTTAAACCACAAACTAACATTATTGCTATGAGAAGGCAAAATTTTCTCATCTCTACAACTAACCATGAATTATAGGTCAAGAATTCCTTCTCCATTCTGGCAGGGTAACTTTCTTCATAGTAAGTAATCAATTGATAAAATTAGGGAGAATGGAATTGAGAGTTGGTGAATGTCAACCCTTTGAGATAGGTAAAGTCAGGAAACAGGATTAATTAGGAGTCTTGAAATGTACTTAACGTGTTTGGGCATTGGGTATTGGGCACAGAATATTGAAAGCCTATCAAAGCCCTTCCCTACTTCAACTTTTAGTTAATACAATCAAAGTGGACTTGTTTTGAGTTTCTTTCTCATGCTTTCTACCTTCCCAGGACTCAGATACCTTTTCTGTAATGGTTCTACATTCTTCTGACATTCCTTCACAGTGACAGTTCATTCAACAATCATGTATTATTAAGATAATTGCAGTCTACCACAGTCAAATAACTTTATACAGACTTGATTGCACGCATAAATACTCACATGTTCAGAAACAAACAATATGATCTCTGGAAGGGCTGCCATGCCTTTGGTTTTAATCTCAGGGTAACGTTTATAGCGGGCAACTAAAACACTGTAAAGGTTTGATATGCTTCCCCCTAGGAAACAATTACATTTTATTGCCATTTGAATAGCTGGGTGTTCCTGGGAATGAATGCTTCATCTCACCATTTCAAGCCAAACAGACAAATTTCAGATACCAAATGCAGATTAGTTTAAATTATTACATGTGGTGAATATGGATCATCCACACAGGTAATCTTCTCAGTTCCAATTTTCTAGAATCAGTTTACTTCCATTCAGGACATTTTCAGTTCCAAGGCAAGTCTATGTAGTCATAGCAAGCCCATGAAAAGCTTGCTATGTAAGTACAGCTACCATGATTACATTCTTATCCACTAGGGTACAGCATAATTTTTCAGTGTTAAAAATGATGTTGCAATGATCCCAACATGCTGAATTCCACAACCCTCTATGATACAAGTGTCATATCACTGTTTCAGTCTGGTATGGTACATCTTTGTCAATCAGTGAAAATTGTTATCATCTCTCATCCACTGGTGATTTGTAGCATTGTTGTGCCACAAAAATAATTGAGAGTAGAGTGTAGAATAGGATGACTGAGGATGACTTTTTCTTTGAAAGTTCTGATTACAACTCATAGAGTGCAATTATTTTGCTATTTCTGTATTCATTTTAAGGAAGAGAGAAAATACTGAATGCAGCCCAAAGGTGAGATTGCTGTCTCCAAACCTGTGGTAGCTTAGATAATACCAGGCACCAGAACTTTGCTGAATGAAAATCCCTCTACTTTCCTCCCTCTACTGAAGTCATGCCCTATCACCCTCCCACAATTTTTCTTCTACTGAGGAATCAAAAGCAATTACTCCCTATCGTCTTCTGAGTAGGAAGATGGCACCTTTTTCCACATAGAAAGAGGAAGAAAAAGATAGCTGTCTCACTAGAAACGGAGGGGAAGGACCACCATAGGCTGGATGTAGAGGCTTGCAGGCCAGATTGTTGCCTGCAGGTCAAAGTTTCCTTAATCTGCCTTACAGTGACTTTGCATGTTTATGTGTACACAGGAAGAAAGAGGAAGATAAATTATCTTTAATCTGAGTAATACTTAACATTTTTAATTTACTTACCTGGAGAAAATATGCCATCTGACTCCCTTTCTTCCCATCCAATAATTTCCTGCATTTTCTTCAGTAGGATCTCCTCCATTATGATGAACACTGGTGCTATTTCATATGTAAACCTAATACATATTTTAATGTAAGCAATATACCACAGTCAGAAAACTTAGATGCAGAAACAGAAATAATGTACATCCAAATTGCTTGACAAAGATGAAAGCAAGACAGTGATGCAGATTTCCATCTGGGTCATGGAGAAAAGTTCTGTTCACAGAATCCGGTATCTATACATGCAGATAAAGCTATAGAAACCTATCTAGGCTGATGTGTGCATGCATTTCTATCACAAGGCTCATCTAGGACCTGACTGAATAGAACACTGGATGTGCCATTGGGCAAGTACTTATGACTACTTATGTGAAGCTAAACTTAGAATAATCATTCAGCATTCCTAGATTCACTCTTACTTTTCTCAAGTGCCTTTCTTACTATCCATTTACCATCTTCTAACTGATTACCAAGTATACTTTAGGATGAGCTGAATTATTAAGGGAATTATATCCAACCATTATTGAATTATTAATCATAATAAAATATTTTTTCTTATGTTATTTTAAATAATATTATAATCTAGTAATAGATCAACCTTTCTGGTATATATTACATTTGAATGTGAATGTTTAAAGCCTGAAAATGAGATTTTAAAGACAATGATGAATATGTGTCATCCTTTGGTGATATGTAGACACTAGTTGTGATTAGGTAATTTAGACTAGCTTGTACTCAATTGTTTTTAGGTTTCCCCTTCTTTAGATGGCCACTCAACCATCTAAAACGATGCGGGAAATAAATTGGAGTACACTTTGTAGTAATCATTTACTTATATAAAATACAGTTGTATCTTTTCTTTCATTTATAAAGGTAACATTTTATTTACACAGTAATAGTGGCTTGCCCAGAACCATCCTCCCTTTATGGTTAAACAAGATTTGGAACTGGAACAGCTCATGTTCATGCCCCAAATTTTGTTTATCCTGGCAAGCTGGCAAAGATAGTGACATCTGAGTGAAATGGCTTGAGTTGTTCAACTGATGTAAGTAAGATGTATATGAGATTTGATGTACTTGTTGATCTTATTCAGATAAATTTATAACAGAGGTAAGTATTATGACTGAGAAAAGTGTTCTGCTATTGTTAAAATTGTCTATCTTTCTGTCTTCTAAAGTATGGCTTTGTAGCTTGGCATAGATAGTTTTGTCACCATCTTCAAATGATAATGGTATTTTACTAGTTGGCCACTGAACAAAGATTGTTGTAAAACGCATTTATAAAGTCAGTCTTCTTTAACTAACCTGGTCCTATCAACCCCATCATCCCTTATTGGCTTAGCCACAGATCACTGGTGGTGGTGCTGCAGGTTGGGGCGGGGGGAGGAGGTGAGCTACAACCCCAACATAACTGAAAGGTTCAGAAAGGCTGCAGTTAGAACCAAACAGGCTTTGAGGCCAAATCTAATTTTCTTTAGATCTAAATGCCCTGTTAATCATGCTACATTTTGTCTGCCTGACTTGTCCTCTCTTACATTCATAGTTTTATGGTTCCCAAATGTTTTTAGTCATAGTTTTATCTGCCATTTTACAATTATTATGCTTCATATTTTAATGATTGATTAAACCAATAGTATTCCACTTTAGGATGCCTTAGACATACTATAAAAAAGGATTGAATGAACAACTTCTATAGAATTACAGACAGATTCAATAAATAGCAACAGCATTTATCAGCTATAGAAGTATTTCCTACTTTCACCCCCAAAAGTAAATACCATTGTATCCCATGTAAGTCCAGAGTGCAGAGCACAAAGCCTGATAGATATGTGCCGGTCTACGAAAAATATGTTCCATTAATAAAGTTCTGAAATGTTGTGGTACTCCATAAAATGCAGACACAGTTTTGTAGGTGTGAGGACATGGGAAAGTGGCAACTTTTTAAAACTGGTTTTATTATGAGCCCATTTAAACACTTTGAAATGGAAAAGTAAATATAAATATCTGAAGTGAATGAATGACTTGAAAGTGAATATACCATAACCATTTTTCAGTGTACTTCTAACTGAGAGACTAGAATACAAAAATTAACTCCAGATTTTGGCAGGATGGTCACATAAACCTGGCCACACCAACCGGCAGTCATTCTGTTTACCATGTGAGTACCAGATATATTTGATATTCATAGACCCATACAAATAAGAACTGTTATCAGGGAAAATGTGATAACCATTCTCTTTCATGTTTCTCTTTCACTTGTTATAGCATTCTCATTACCTCTGCCTCTATATTTTGTAGTCTCTCTGTAATGTTGACTGAATGGTTCTATATTATAGTGTGCTTTTACATTTTTGTCTGAGCCATTCTAAAACTCTCTCAATTAAAAAAAAAAACAATGTAAGGAGATTGAAAGGCAACTTGTGTCCTAGAATCACCTTCTTTCTATCACACTAGGATGATAAAACTTTATTTCTATTTCATGCTGCTTCATATACCATATGAAGACACTTGCTAAGATGGGCATACAAATTGAATAAATCAATAAATAAAAGTTGCTTTTGCTCATTCTAACTTTTCTATATTGAAACTTAATTTTACAGGAGGATGTCCTTGCAAGAAAAGGAACTGTAAGAGACTTCCTAATAGCAAATGTATATAAAATATGAATTGTAGAACAATTGATTTCACATCCATATTAAATAAGATTGGAGCTATAGTTGCATATTGCAGAGCTAGGTTTTAGGTTGCTAGTCATCTAGGAGTTTAAGGGTGTTATTGTATATACCAATTTTAAGTATCAAAGATGTTGCACATAAATCAGAGTGCTTAGCAATGAAAAAGGGCCTTTTTGAAGAGTTGAACTGAGGACATCTTGCACCACAAATGGCTCTCTTTGTTCTATCCAAATTATTAGATACTTAGCCCAAAAGAGGAACATGATTAAATTTGTTGACATTTTGTATAATTTGCCATGACCATTAATTCTGTTTGTATCTGAAACAGATACAAACTTCACCCTGATTCCTGTGAACTGACTTTCCAATAGATTTTTTCACATTTCTTACACAATGGCCATCTTGTTAAAATTTTACCATGGAGATGAATTCTGATGCTCAGAATGTCATATATGTAACCGAAGTATGAGGAAAAATATTTAGATTTTTTCTATGTTGATCAGAAGCACTACCCTCTTCTATACACAGGCAGCACTATTAATATCAGTAGGTGAGTTACTTCAGTGCTGAAGTTTGCTTTTCACAAAAATTGCCAAATCGTTTAATTTTGTTTCTCTTGAATGAAGAAAAATTGGTGGAGAGATCATGACTAATGAGACTACAAAAAATGTCAACGTTCATAGGGTTTTTCTTCTGGATGAATAGGAAAAATAACTTTTTAAAGAACTATGCAGTGTCAACATACTACTTCTTATAAGTAGCTTTTATTGGTACTTATTACTTATTGCACATGATCCAGCCAACCTATTAGACACAATGCATGAAGCATTCATTGTTTAAAATTTCAATCAGAGTTTTGTTAATACATTTGGGCAACTGAGGATTTACTAAGCTCTCCAAATCCTAAGCGTTTAGTGGACCATGTCATTCATGCTTCTTACCCAAAAAAAGGGAAATAGTCTCTGGGGAGTGGTAATTTGCAAACCACTCCAAACTATAGTCCAAATCCAGATGTGGAATTCTCTGCATGTGCTTTTTATTAAGAAAGGAAGTGTGGTTAATAACATGTGTAGTTTAATCCTAAACAGAAACATCTTTTTACAGTAGAAAAATATGGTTTTTCACAGAACAGTATACATACTCTTCCAATACATTGCAAATGCTTATTTATTCATTATTTGGTTTACAGTCTTGCCAATTGGTAAATGTACTTTGTTCTATATAAACACATAAACATCAAGAACAAAATAAAAATGGAAACAATGAGGCTGATAATATAAAAGCCAGGTACAAAACAAAGAAAAGTAATGCATTAAAATATTAAGTGGCTATTGGAACGTCTTGGTACTTAAAACAGTGTGTGTGTGTGTGTGTGTGTGCGCGCGCGCATGCACAGGCACATGTATAGAGAAGATTTCCCTGAGGGTGGTGGCCTTTGGAGAAGAATCTTTGTACACAATCTTAGCAACTGGACATGAGCAATAGGGCAAAAATCCTTTCTTTGTTGGGGCTCATACATTCTTTTAATTCTTAAACAGAAATTTAATATGCTGTTGAAATATTATTTAATCTCACATTAATCCCATATAAAACTGAGATTACAGTACATACATGTTTGTATTTGCAGTAGCTGTCAGCCATTCTCCAGCAAGTCCTATAATGTCAAGGCCACTGGAGAGTTGGTTGAAATAACGAGGATGTCCTTAAAAATACAAATGTCAGAAATACATCATTTTAACACACTCTTACTATTGCAATAAAGCATCCACAGGCAGTTGGAAGATAGTGTAAAAAAGCACTTTGCCTGGTGCCTGTGTGTCATGTATGTAAAAGGAGTTCCTATTTTTATGGGAATATAATATCCATTAAAACATTCATGGCACAGTGACAGTCTACCTTTCCCTCATCAACAATCTGCATTAAAAAAGACATTTCTGAGAGATGCATCCAAAAAAGAATACTGCCAAATATTATACAGTACATGAAAGCTTACACTGAGGAGATTTATATTTTAAAAGTCTGCATCAAAAAAGCTTATGTCGTAAAACTTAGCATCAGGGGACTTTGTGTTCAGTTCTGGGGAGTGCCGTTCTCTCTATCTCAGCTTCACTCTCCACATTTTCCACTCCCTGCTCTGTTTCTCTTGACCTACAACACTTGAACCTCTTAATATGTTTGCTTGTCTGCATTTCCTCATCTCTCACCCTTCTCCCCGCCTTCTCTCAAAAGTTTTGCATGTTTTGTTGCAAATGAAAACAAATGAGACTCTGTTACAGATATACTTTTCAAATCCATTAAATACCTAATAGACCATCTTTTCCGTGCAGGCAACAGCCTCCTGGATTACGACTATAACAGAACAGAACAGAATAGAACAGAATACTTTATTGTCATTTCACTATACACTACACACCAAGTGCATAATAAAATGAAATTCCGTCGCAATTGACTAACAATTTTCTATAGGTACTGAAGGTGCTACTAGTCACTCAGTCAAACTAAGCTACACTTAATACTAACCTGCACATTGGTTCAGACATAGCAGATGCTTGTTTCTTTCCACCAGGCTCATAAGGCAACATGAAAAAGTCACATATAAGGGAGATTAATGTGCCTCCCTTCCCCCTCTTTAATTCAACGGGGAAGGACTGTAATTCTGAATAAACCCCTATGTGCAAAGTTATTGTAATATGTACAGGACAGAACAGTATATACACACACTCTTCTCTACCATGCAAACAGGTGAGTGTAGAAACTACTCCTGGGGCTATTGTGAAGTGGAAGTTTGGACAAAAACATTAGTTTATTATGTGATTAAACATGGTAGTATACAAAGGAACCTAAGACAAGAATTCTAACTCTTGTTTTGGGCAGGACCAGCCAAATACCTCTGCAAGCTGACAAGAAAAAGCAAAGGCAAGATTCTTCTACTGATATCAGTCTTTAGCTTGCAGTATTTGGAACCATTCTGCCTTTAAAAGTTAAGTTTTGTTTAAATGATGGACAGTCATTGGAACAATTGGTGCATTATGAAAAACAATGCTGCAAGCCACATTGTACTATTAGTTACCTGTTTTAACACCATATTTCAAGGTATCCCTACAGTCCACAAGAATTTGCTCCAGAGGTTCTGGGTGATCAGAGAGTTCCACATTGAAGCCTTCTAGCCCTTCCAGAAGCTGATGGGGGTGGTGGAAATCAAGCACTTTGCTCTTTCTGTCATAGGCCTTTTTGATATAACTCAAGAGAATAGTCACCACTTCATGAAGAAAATGTTCAGTGCATTCCTCGCCATTCCAAGCTGGCAACAAATCTAAGGAAACAACCCCCAATAAAATAACATTTTGTGAAAACTAGAGTTTAGGAGGAATGTAATGGCAGAGGTGCCTTTTTAGAGAACTGCCATACAGTTGGAGGATTCCTTCACAATTGTACCTCCCCAACTGAAGAGGAAAACAAAGTTCTCCACTGATATCCCTAGCTCTTCCATTTGTTTCTTTGCTTTATAAAAATATAAGCAATCTTTCCAAGTACAAACTTTCCCAAATAGAGGTCCTTCCAAAAAGACCTGTTAAATGCAAAGTGTTAAGCCATTTCCTGAGAGTCATGTGCTAACAGATCCAATAAACGGTCAATTCTACTGAGCGGAATCAGAGAATGATGCCACATAGAGATTAAGAAAGTGAATAAAGTAGTGGAGCAAAACTTTACTCACTTTAGAAAAGACCGAAGCCATCTGAAGTTTCCCTATACATGCCAACATGTATTCTTTCAAACACAATAAAATGTTAATATTACCTGATTCATATATGTTTGAAAAATTTGTCACAGAGCTCTGAAATGTAGATATTTTTTTCCTTTCCTCACATTCTCCATGGAAAGTAGAAATATGTTTGGATCTCTGTTGGTGAGGTTCTGAATGGGCTGGTTCATCTGGGAAAATAGCACAAGAATAATCATCTTTTTAAAAGTTACTACATCAATGTTTGAGTGGCTGGTAGAAGATCTTAGATGATTAAATGTCTGGCCTAAAGGTTACGGTAACTGCCCTAAAAGGTAGCCTGAAACAGAAATACTGTATGAGAGAATTTTAGGAGCAGAAACAAAATAACTAATTTTGTCTTGTTTTTTTCTTCTTCTCGCCCTCACATTTTTGTCTGTTTTGCTACATAGTGTTATAGGTTTGCTAGCTTTATTTTATAATAATCAGTTTTTCTAGAGTTTGAGCATGTCACTTCCTTCTCATCTTCAGTCTTCTATTTTCTTTTGTTGGCTTATGGTTTCAACTAATATTTTTTTATATCTTCAGCCATAAATGTGATTGGTAGACTTGCACATGCTATATGTGCGATCTTCATCTCCATTATGAGATTAGGTTCATGGGCAGAGAGAGCAGAATCAGGCATGCTGGCCCCACTTTTCTCCTGCCCAGCCTCATTACTATCCACATCTTGGTTTGAGAAGTCTCCAGCTGGCAGCCGCCATGCATACATAGTCCCTCCATAGAGTTCCATGTCATATAGAAAACATGGAGTGGGCAGCCATAATAAATTTAATGTAAATAAATAAATAGTACACAACAGGCCAGGTTCCCTTTACAACACAGGGGAAGTGAATACCACAAAAGAACTGTTGTCTTTATTTCTGGTTTCTTTATACTTTCTTTTTCTCCTGTTTTGTTTCTGTAGGTTCAAAGCAGGCCCATAAACTGATCAGTTCCTGGAATATCAGTTAGGCATGTGTGGTTTTATTTTTTAAAAAAGTTATTTCCTTGAACATAAACTCATAGGTAACATACATACATGTTCTTGTATATAAACCTATGTGCACCTTAGGGGTTTCCTGAATAATCTCGTACTTGTTGGTGTCTATGATTTCCAGTCTGATCAGAATTCAGCCATCTGAGGTCACTACTAAAGGGAATTATAATAATTTAATTAAACACCATGAATTGAAGGATTTCACATCCTGTGAAACTATAGTGACATTTACAATTTCCTAATGAATGTAGTTATTTATAGGGTGCCCCATTCTTCATAACACCTTTGCCTAACTCATAACTATATTGAAAACCAGAAGAATTGTTAGAGCTTCATCATGTATTTGTGCAAACCCCTCCCCCCCCCCCCGCCACATCCCGTGAATGGGTGAAAGAGATTTCATCTTCTTCTCTTTGGCCTGATATTACTGAAAATAATAACCATTCATGGCACAGCCACAGGACATAGAAAATGCACCTGGTTTCTTTAATTTGAAAAGACATTGGTAAGGTGGATGATATTTGATTTGATTCTTACACAGCCTGTAACTGAACTTCAGCTCAAGAAATAATCAATGTGATTTTGGAGGGCCCCTTTTTCTAGTAGTTTCAGCAGGTGTATATAATGCCTATGGCCATTCTGAATGAAATAAACATTGGTAAGATGAGAGATGTGGAATGTTCTGCCCATCTTTGTTGTTATTTGATAGTGCTTTGCTCTGAAACTATATTTACTTTTTAAACAATATTTTAAGAAAGCGTATTCAGTTTGTCTGCAAATGTTTAATATGCTCATTTACTTTTATGACATGCAGTATCTTCTTTAATATGCACAAAAGAAGAACAAATTAAATATCAAGTTTCGTAAACATAGGAGCAGCCCTCATCTCATTTATGCTCTTGTAGACTGAAGTCTCTGCCAATCTGTCCATGTTTCAATGGAATTTTAATATCACTAAAAGAGAACAGAACAAAATAGAGAACAAATCATTATAAAGTGAGAGTGAAGTGTAAACCTCACAGTATGAATACGCAGATTAAAATGATGTCACCATGCAAGTACCAAGTTGTGTAAACTTGCTTTGGAATAGCTTTTTTTTTTACATGGCTTTATGGCATTCAAACAAAAACTGAACTTGTCTTCTGTGCTTTCCCTTGTTCTGTGCCCCTACCTTTTCTCTTCTGTGTTTAACATAAAAGGACCAAGACCCAGTTAACTGCTTTCATTCCCCAAATTGTATGATCAAATCTACCAACAGCAAAACACAATGCCTTCTTTAGAATGGGTGAGGTTTTTTTTCTGTGTGGGAAAAATGGTGAGGCACACAAGCAAGACAAAGACCAGTCCTACCTTACTATTTTGACATCCAAGCCTATTATTTTCAAATGTTCCTACTTCCTTCTCCTCGCACGCATTCCCCATTAAACAGTCTCACAGTTTTAAAGGCCTAGAAAATTTTCCTCACTCATTTGTGTGCAACATATTGCTTTGCCCTGCTAGGGACTTCTTGAAGCAGGTTTTCAAGTGATGCCTGTGCAGCAGAAACTTTGGTCTCCATGCTAGTCACGCCAGACCTCCTTCACTATTTTCCTATCAAAGTGATGCACTCACAACGATCCATACTTCCTGTTTGGTCCAGCATGACCCATCCACTGTTTCTGGAGAACAGGAAGGCATCACCTAATCCTTCACCCTACTCCAGGATGCAGTGAACACAACCTCTGCCCATGTTTTCTTACTTCACCTCAGAACTAGTGTTTTCTACTTTCTGACAGAAGAAGGAATGACAACTAGTTTGTCTGCCACATTTCACTGAGTTGTGAACGGGCTAGTATGGGCTCCCTTGTTGCCACATTGCACAGCCATTTTATTTGGGCTGCAGAACTGAATGCCCTACTCAACAGGAATCTCCTCAGGATTTCAGTACACTATCCACTTCCCTGAAGAGAACAAGTTAACATAATCAGCTAGATCTTTAATTGACATGATGAAAGGTATGGCAGGAATATAGCCTCTTACTTCCAAAATAAATAATAAAATCCAAAATAGCCTTTGGATTTTATTACTTATAATTTAAAAATAATAATAATAATGGTAACAAAGTTAAAGCAACAAAATGCACACATAAAACCAGTTTTAAAATTAAAATTCTTGCATTTCCCCAGGTTTGACTCCATAATATTTCCTGCAGGGATTGCTGTAGTAGGGCTCCACTAGCATGGTCATATGGTATTGTCGTCTTCTTTTTCTTTCCTTACTTCCTAGTCTAGTAACAGTCTTGGGTGGTATGTCATCTGAGTACCAACCAGATCTAGCCCTGATTAGCTTTTCTGTATTGGCTAACGTTGGCTACCCACCTCCTGGGATGCTCTGTCATTAGCTGTTCACTCTCCTTTTCTCTCTACCTCCAGTAATACTCAAGATGTGTGTGTGTGTGTGTGTGTGTGTGTGTGT